TGAGGCACATACACATTTATTTTGAAGAAAAATCTAAGCTTTTAGACTAAATTGCAGGTGCAAAGTGCTGATGAATATGAAGTAGAATGATGTGTACCCTCACCGGAATGAAGTCTGCAGTCTTTTCACGTTTTCTGCTCTGCTTGTGTGATAATCTATATAATGGACTCAAATATGCTGAAATGTTTTGAGAAATGCTCAATTTAAAAAAAGCTACACTTTTACTGGCACCTGAAGCCACAGTATAGACTTATCAAACTAAATTTTCATATTTTCCAAAGTAAATGGGAGTAGTGCTTGCCAGTACAAAACAATGGGTGTTTTGCAGTATATTGCCATGCGGTTGCTAGGGCGTGTTGAGTGGTTTCTAAGTGGCTTACTGGCCAGAGTCAAAAGAGCCCAAAAGTGATATTCTAGTCCCTACTTCAAAGTCTACGTACTTTTCCCCCCTCATTATTTAAGGTATCATTCATGTTCACAGAACAAATGGTGCAGGATGAGTCACACGTTTAATACTTAGGTTAAGGGTTAGAATAAACTGGTAACTTAGGTATGAGCAATAACAATTGTAATGTGGGCTTTTTCTGTGGTTGGCCCCAAGCTTTGGAATGGTCTCCCCTATCATGTGAGATCTGCTCCTTCTTTGGACATTTTTAAGTCTAGACTTAAATCTTATTTTTACTCTTTAGCCTTTGTATGAGTGTAGTTGTCGTTTCTATTAGTAGATTTGTTTGATCATTGTACAGCACTTTGGATCAATTTACATTGTGTTTAAATGTGCTTTATAAATAATGTTGTTGTTGTTGTTGTAGTAAATGTTGTGAGCCTAAGCAAGCACCCTTAAAGGGCTAGTTCACCCAAAAATGAAAATTCTGTCATCATTTACTCATCCTCATATCGTCGTGTTTTGAAGATGAACGAAAGTCTTACGTGTTTGGAACAACATGAGGGCGAGTAAATGATGATAGGATGTTCCCTTTAATTAATCACAGAGTTCTGGCATGAAACTCTAGATGGCACAGTCCGATAGGTCTAACTCAATCTGACCTAATGACATCATTATCACATGGCAATGATGATATGATTTTCCCTTTAATTAACCAAAACATTTAATAAACAAACATAAGGCAAGCAGGATGTGGGAAAGATGTTGCTTTGTATTCTGTGCAGCCACAGAAACAACTACGGTTGCCATGGCAAAACTCACTTCTGTCAGAGACAAAAGATGTTACAAGAAATAATACGTCAATAACCAGCTGCTACAAAACACAGCAACTCAATTCCAGAGGAATGCAGGATTGCTTCATATCCCAGTGATTTTGAAATCCAGTTCTGATTTAAAGCAAAAGCATGTTTTGGCTGGAAACGAGCAGCGGGAATAGGAATATGTCAAAACTTGTTTCACTTGATCATTTCAGTCGAGAAGCCAGTGAAAGTCTTTTGATTTTTGAAAGTGTATGAGCAAATCCCTCAAACGGTCAATGTGTCCTTTGACCCTGGAGCTGCTAATATTTGCAGTGTTTTCCCCATTACATCTTGAGGAGGGGGAGAAAGAGAGAAACAAACAGACTGAACACCTTTTGGCAGCAGTTTCAGCTTCATATTATGCAAGCTCAGAGTGCTTGGAGGCAGTGCCAGCACAGCATGAGACAACTTATGAAACATTAACATTGAGAACAAGACAAAAGAGGGGAGGAAAAGATGCAGTGGCAGTGAGGAAGGAACGGGTGAGGAGTGTGGAAGAGGGAAGGATGGGATGAGAAGAAACACGAGACAATGGAAAGTGTGTTAATGGCACAAATCATTAGCAGTCATTCCATGGGAAATAGGAAACTAGGTTGGTTACGGAGTTAAAAGTGCTTTTTAAGCAAAACTGTCAGTCTTGGTAATGCAGCCAGGCAGTGGTTTTCAAGTCTTGCAAGTACAGGCCCGAGCTGACAGAACAAGACAGAAATTTGCAATCTGTTTGTCAAGATTACATAGACAGATAGCCTGATATCAGAGCAATATTTCATTTTTTAAATGTTATTATTAAAAAATTACACTATATGTTGGGTCTGTAGACCTTACCAATGGTAGTTTTATTTAAAAAAAAAATTCAAAGGTTAATTATCACTCTCAAAAGTGTAGCTTTTAGAAATATATTTGATATAAATAAATTTACTACCATTTATATCTCATAAACAATGACAATAGACTGTCAGTAAAAATAGATAATATTTGTAAAGATTAATAAAAGTTATTAGTATTAATATTACTATTGTTGTATGCAAATAATAATTCAGACGTGTAAAAATAATTAATAAATTAATTAAAAACAATTTCAAATTAGTTACTGGACATTCAAACAACAAAAATAATCTTTAGCATATCAGTCAAGATCATCTTTGGTTGGTACATGCTGAGAGTCTTCACCCTCTTCTACTGTAGCTAAATGTCAGATATGAAAATGAGTATTGTCTGCAGCAGAGGAGGATGGCTAGGGGTGTGGGAGGCCAGGCAATCAACACAAGACTGAAACAGTCACTTGTGTGTCTGAACAATCCCTTTATCGATCAGTGTTGAAGGAGAGGGCGGAGGACAGTCCCAAATTGTTACAGGCCCTATAGAGAAGGGCAGAGTTCACCAACCTCTCGTTCTTTCCATTGGAGTGTCTGTGATTTGTCTGCTTGTAATATAGTTTTTGTCAAGACACTGTATGGCCATTGTACTGTTTTCAATTGCACAATTAACTCACAATTGGTGTGTACGTTTGTATATTTCCAGCCTGTCTTTTTCATAAAGAGTAACATACAACCATGGTTAAACATTTACATCAATTTGTGTTTTCCAGTTGTATTTAGTATATAGTAGTCAACATTTGAAGTGGATTAAAAAAGTTAATCAAAGTTGTCCTAAGACAAGAACTGTGTTTTGGTTTTAGGACAACTTTGATGAAAGGTTTTGATCCACTTCAAATGTTGACTACTGTATATTATTTATTGCTCTATACCATGACCATGATTGTATTTTTTGGCATGTATTTAGAATATTCAAATGTTGAAGTTCAAATGTTGTGTTGATACAGGCTTACAGTCCCAAACTAACTTTCTCTTACAGTCGATTCATCCTTCAAGACGTAGACTGCATATGCTAAAAAATAACCAATAATACGTTTTATATTATCTATATATTCTTTACAACAAAAGTATGTTGTGAATATGTATTATTTATACGTTGTCATATTAAAAACCAGTCAGTAAATATAAATTGTAGAACCCCAAATTATACATTACAGCTTCACTTTGAATTGGACCAGTGTTATTTTTCATTCATTCATTTCATTCATTCAATTTATCTAATTATTATCATTGATACACTATTGCAGGTTTTGTTAATATTTTGAATAAGATGTTATTTCTATATTTTATATTTTTATAAACATATAAACAAACATTTACATATTTATAAATATATAGTTTTTTAAAATGAAATATTGGTTTTGTTTTAGTTTAGTAGTATTTATTTTCATATTTAAAGTAGTATTTAGTATTAGTATTTTTTAGATATATAATTATAATTTAAAGAAAACGAAAATGAGAAATGTAGCCTTGGCAAGTAGCTGAAATACACTAAGTTTAAGTTTTTTATATTTTATTTCAGTTCATTTTTATTTTATGTTGAGTAATGAAAATGTTTTTAATGATTGTAGTTTTAGTTACAGATAAGGATAGTAACCCTGAATCGGACATAACTGAAAAATTACTCACGATTCAGTGAAGGAGTCAGCTGTAAACTCACGATTCACTGACTGAGTGAGATCTGATTCAAACTGCTAACCCACGAGCGAGTTTGGGGCTGTTTTGTGAATCTGACTCAACTAGTTCAAAAGAATAATTTATTTGTGAATCGGACATCACGTCTTGGTCGTGTTCATTGTTGCGTGCAGCAAACAAGACATAACTGAAAAATTACTCACGATTCAGTGAAGGAGTCAGCTGTAAACTCAGTAATGGCTCTAAACGATTCACTGACTGAGTGAGATCTGATTCAAACCGCTAACCCACGAGCGAGTTTGGGGCTGTTTTGTGAATCTGACTCAACTAGTTCAAAAGAATAATTTATTTGTGAATCGGACATCACGTCTTGGTCGTGTTCATTGTTGCGTGCAGCAAACACTGGGGGCACGTGGACCAAATACGAGGTTTTCCCTAACTAGATTTCAAATTATTTTTGGAAATATGTCTTTTATTGTTGCATCTAGAGCCCTGTTAAAGAGTGTGCAATTTTTCAACGTAAAGTGTGCAGCGACTGCTATAGGGTTATAACATTGATTGGCTCTTTCAACAAACAGCATAAATAGTCACAAAAAGAAAAGTTCAACCAGAATCAAAAAGTGGCGTGATTTTGTATATTTTTTTTATTGAAAGCTTCATCAAAAGAAAAAAGAAATAAACAGAAGTTTAAACCTAACATCCACTGGTCTACAGACACTCTCAGGATCACAGCTCGACCACATGGGAGGCAAGAAAGTGAAGCAACTCAAGAAATCATTGTAGCATCGTAAAACTGTTCCGCTTTCATATTTCAACAACACCTGTACAAAAACATTTCCATAAATATTTCTCTATTTCATCTGCCAGTACGTTAGTGTCTAATTGAGGTTTTGCAGTTTGTGTTGAATTTGGTTGAACATAGTACGCTGTTTCTTAACAGTCCAACGAACTAATGGACGAACATTCGTCATTCAATGACCTCAACTGTGACAGCCAATCAGATGTACAGATAAATAAAAAGCATGGCTTGGACCTCACATCCATCCAATGAATGGGAGTAGTGTTTCTAGCCAGCGAAAACCTTCGTGGATGAAAGGTGTTTAGTTTACAAAATTGCAGTTGGGATGAGAACTCCATCCTACAGTTAGCAAAACCTTCAGCTTAATCGGACACATTTATTCACCCTTGAATGAAAACCATGAAGGCTGCAGAGTGTATAACGCATTCGACATCATCACACACCTCTCATATGAGATACCAGCCCGAATTTTCTCTCCATTCCCAAGGCCCTGACCACTTAAATACTGAATGCTTGATAGCAGCGAGCACGTGATAAAAAGAACTCTCCAAAATGACAGTGGATAACAGACACAAAACAGTGACTTTTATTATTATTATTATTATTTTTTTTACTTTTTTGTTTAAACAGATGAAAAATGAAAAGCTAGCTTGTTCTTATTGAAGCAGTGTTGTCTTGGTCATTATGAACTTGGCATCGCTTTAATCCACAGTGTGAACTTGTCTCATATCTCACTGCAATGGTCATCACCAGAGGATAAAGTACACCAATTTTGCTTTAATACTGTCCCCTAGTGGCTAATTGAGATCATTACGTAGCTGTATAGAGGTCATGTTGTAGGAAAACAGGAAAAAAGACCCAAGTGTCCATGATGACGTTCAAAAGGAATAAATTGATCTTGATGTCTCTAGCCGGCCCTTTAATGACAGATTAATTTATTCCCAGAGCACCTCGACAACTCTAATTACCTGACTGTAAAACTAGGAGGCGTATTTATGAGCAGTATGACCATGAAGGCAGCAAAGACAGTCCATAATTCACCATGTGTATTGAAACTCTTTGCTGACGTATTAATATAGCACTTTCCTATCTGACTGCATCAAAATAACATCTACTTCATGGTAAATAAAGGACAGCAGCCTTGTTTGTATATTAAAGCGATAAGTCTGTCCAAAAATGAAAATGTACTCATGTTGTTCCAAACATGGCTTACTTTCTTCTACGCAATATAAAAGAGAACATTTTAAAGAATGTTGGCAACCAAACAGTTTCAGGTCCCATTGACTGTTATTGTATCTTTTGTCCATACAGTGCAAGTCAATGGGAACCGAAAATGTGTGGTTAACATTGTTCTTCATTTTGACAGAATGTTTATTTTTGGATGGACTATCCCTTTAATTTATGAAATGTTCCCTCTGTCTGCTCTTCTGTTTGCTAGTTTCCCCCCTCTGGAATGGGCAGCCTGATAAAAAGAAAGCAAATTTCAGATATGGAAGGTTGAAATGTCACACGCGATATTTCTAACCTTAATTCCGAGCTGTCAAGGCACCTGAGCAACCACCGAATCCCATAATAATGGGAACCTTAGGCTCTGTCATAAATGGCGTAGTTGATGTGTATCCGCCGTCTTGCAATGGTCATTGTGCACCCATGTGACCATAATGTGTCGCGATTGAGATTTTAGGGTCACTACGGATTACTAACTAGAATTATGCCACCAAAATGTGGCCTCGACCAGCAAGGGCTTTGGGACAGAGCCTTTGTTTTTCAAGTAAAGACCGCCATTTTCACGAGAGATTTCCTATGGCATCTGGTTGATTAAGGAAACCTTGCATATAATATGAGGCATTTCGATCGATGCGACTGCAAATACGAACGGGAGTGCTCAGAACAAAATGTTATGCTAATGCTGCTAATTGCAAACGTTTCTCAGTGCCCCTGAAGCAAAGCTTGTGTTTCATGACCTGCAACACATTCTCCTGTGTTTCCTCATGGTAAAATTGCTTTCGATGAGGTAGTGATCTGTACACAGAGTTTAAATACACACTAGTGAGTGATTTGATTCCTTCCTGTTGAGCTGAAATTATGTAAACGGACTTCTTTGTGTGAAAGCTCGAACTGAACGGATGTGCGACGTGTTTAATAGTGACCGACCGACCGTCGGTCGGCGACTGAGAAGGTGCAGCGATAGAGGTATAGTTCATTCAGCCGGGCAGACGGGAGATGATTGATGGTTCAGCCGCTCTCTGACGCCCTCTGCTGGGGAGATCACACTCATGAGAATCAGTGATGGTGGTTTTCTGCCTTTCAACTGAACGATTGACATAGATTCTGCAACAGTGGAAGGAAGTTTAAACCCTAAAGTACCAGTTTAGCCGTCAAGGTCAAATGGATACTTCTGAAACCAAATGATTACGCCAAAAAAAAAATCTCAAATAGAAAAAAGAAACAAAATAATTGATCCACTCCACTGTCTTGAGGGGGGTTTCTTCATCTTTGGTATAAAATATGCCATCCACGGCCTGCATTTGATCCACAGCTAAGAAAGACTAAAGAAATTGTCAACAATTTCCTATTACTATTGCTTTTTGCACACATTTGCTTTTTTTTCGTCCATAAGCTCTTATCTATTTAGATTTGCACTGCCATTTTTTTGACTGTTTTAGTTTTCTTTTTTTCCGCAATGAAACAAGCAAAGCAGGCTAAAAACACCTTAAAGCTCATAAAAAATATTGCAGATAAAAACAATAATGCCATTAAAAATGATCTGCACTACACAATAAACTGCATTTCCCATGATGCAGTGGATTAACATTTTTTTCCTCTGTTCCTAAAAAATGCAACTCTCTTTAATCATCCTCATCATCATGACCACAATATTTTTTTTTGTCTGTCCTCTCTATTAAACACAAAGTCACCACTGATAATTTAAAACGTCTCAAGGAGACCTCTCTCTTTCTTTCTATGCTTTATACAGGTAATTTCCTTTCTTTGTCAGGTCATTTTCACTGCATTCATCAGTCTGTTCAGTTCAAACAGGAAAAAGTCTTAGATGTTTCTTGAAATTAAGGCAGCAAAGATGAAAAAACATTGATATTCTCTAGAAAACTAAAATCTAACTCATAAAAAAAGAAAAGTAATAGTAGCTTAGAATCCGAGGAAGACTTCTTTCGCTCCATCTCTCATTGATTTACAAGAACGTGCTTCCTCATCTAATAGAAAAACCCACTGTTTCTGAAAACCTACCTGCACATTCAAAAAAAGAATAGGAAAACTTGTACTTGTTTGATTTCGTTCACTTCGTGAAGGTAAGGTTTTTCGGATAGCCGATTAACAGTAGGCTCGATCTCCCAGACTGCATTTCTCTCGTTTCCGGTCTGGTTGCGAGTTCTCCAAAGGTCCTTCGGTGTGGGCCAGGTGTTAAATAAATTGTTTGTTTGTTGTAGATGTTTTTTTTTTTAGATGCTTGTGCAAAAGTATACACAAACGTGTTTCCCTGTCTCTTGCGCTCTGTCTTCAATGCTCCCTCGTTGCAGTCCCCCAGTCTCAAGGCAACGCAGTCACCTCAACGCCCCCCTCCTCCTCTGGTTATCTGAACCAATGAGAAAGTCAGAGAGTTTGAAAAGCATACTGTATCCTATTCAAGGTTCACTCATGGATTATCACTTATTCCTGATGGCCCAATAACAACAGCATTTATTGAGCTAAATATAAGGCCTTATCATGAATTCAACCTGCCCACAGTTAACAGCTATACTTTTAGGTCGTGAAAAGGTTGTGAAAACATTTTAAATATACATACTTAAAACAAAAGATGTGCATTTTTACAATGTTGCAGAATACTGTTATGAAGTTGCTAGCACTGAAACATATTAGGAACCTCACGGCTGTGCTGAAATGTGGCCTGATTGTATTCTGGTGTTTTCACTTCATTTTTGAAACATAGGTTTCAGTATTGTTTAGTATGTTTTATTTTGCTTATATAAAATTACATTTGGGACCAAATTGTAACCTCTCCTTTATACTACTGTTCAAAAGTTTGGGGTTGGTAAGATGTGTTTAATATTTTTTAACAAAATCTCACCAGGGCAGGTTTTATTGGATCAAAAATACAGTAAAAATAATATGGTGAAATATTATTAGAATTTAAAATGTTTTCTATTTTAATATATTTTATAATATAACATATTCATGTGTTGGCAAAGCAGAATTTTCAGAAGCCATTACTCCAGTCTTCAGTTTCACATGATCCTTTAGAAATCATTCATTTGGTGCTCAAAATGTCTTATCAAACAGTCGTGCTGCTTAATATTTTTGTATAAACTGTGATGCATTTTTTCAGCATTTATTTGAAACAGAAATCTTAACTACCACTTTTGGTCAAATTAATGCATCCTTGCAGAATAAAACTGGAATCGGTTATTTTTGGTCATTTACTGCAAAAACGTAAACTGCATGTCGAGTTTGGTTACAATAATTTGTATTTATTGATTATTTATTGCAATGTTGTAAAATGTTGCAAATGTTATAAAAACGTTGTGTGCTTGTCATGAATATATGTAAACAAGATACATTGTCCCCATTTGTCTTATCAATGTGAATATCAAACTCACTTAGCGGGCTGAAAAGTGTAGGTGGGCGCGTGATCGCTGGTGTTGTCCATGCCCAGAGGCTGTTGCTGACTGCTGGCATCCTGTGACGAGGGCGGAACGCTCTGTGGAGAAGCCTCCGTCACCACTCCCTGGAAGGATATGATGTCATAATTACAGGATGTCCCCTCACAAGAAACAGAATTACCTGTTAACCTCCTCCAAAAAGAGGCCTTAGGGCTGTGTTTGGTACTCAGACCAGAATGAACTTAAAGACGTGCTTCACACTGAAATCAGGCCTTGTAAAGCTGAAAAAAAAGGCACTAAGGAAGTTGTGGGCGTATTTTAGCCCGAGGTGACTGATCTCCACATTTTCAATTAGCAGCGCTCATCTAATCAGTTGGACCAGTGAATGGATTTGCAGTCGCCCAGAAACTCACCTCCACTGAGACAGCTGAGGCAGGCACCGCAGTGTACTGGGGAATGTAGGTCCCCTGCATAGGAGCAGCAGCCGCAGTCATGTACTGCAACAAATACATACACAGAGACACAGTTCATTCACACATACTGTAGCAAACAAAACTATGCATAGTATGGACCTATTCAAATTGTGACCAAACATCGGCGGAGCTGCAGCTGCTGCATCTAACAGTGCAATTGGTGGCACTAATATAGTACATCAAAAGCTATTTTGCCAAGTGACCGCCACAGAAAAACAGAGCCCCTATAGGGACATGATGGAAAAAAATAAGACATGGGAGGAAAAGATTCTATTTTTCCATGCATTTGCACACAGCAGATTTGCATTTGCAGAGAGAAACTACTTTTGTTGACTGATGATGGAAATAATATGAGATGGAAGGAAAACTATATTTCAATGCTTTTGAGAGGGAGGAGGAGCGCAAAGGTTTTGTAAGTGAATGCAAAAGCCTTGAAGTATAATTTTTCCTCCAATGTCATATTTTTATGCATCATCATGTCCCTGGCTCCATATAGGATGAAGAATCTTGTTGAGATGAATGCTATATGATAACAAACATATTTTCAATGCTTCTATTAGTCGATTCCCTTTTGCTTTTCCTTTCAATTTAGGTACTACTAGAAATGAATAGTTGTACTTTTACTCATTACATTTCTAATGATTTACAATTTCATTTAGACCTTCAAAATTTAAAGTACATATTTCACTGCTCACAATGATGCAAATCTATCCTCTTATTAAACATTTATGTATATCTTTTTTGCTGAGTTGTATCTTCACTCAGTAAAATCAATTTCATTGTAAGATTACCACAATTTACCATGAAAGTACAATAGTGACTAAACCTAAAATAATGTTATTAATGAATAAATGCTTGAGTGCAAACAGGTTCAGTGATCAGTCTGCAAACTAGTGGCATTTTTGTATTTATATTAGTGCTGATATATCACGATTAATCGCATCCAAAATAAACGTTTTTGTTTACAAAATATGTGTGTGTCCTGTGTATATTTTTTCTGTATATATATAAATGCACAAACATATGTGTATATATTTAAAAAATATTTACATGTATATATATATATTCAGATAATTTATATTATATATAAATATATTTGGTTATACTTTATTTTAAGGTGTCTTTGTTGCACTGTAATTCTACATTTAAGTACTGAGTAATATTAATTAACTACATGT